TATGATGAATTATGAGTTGGCGGAAGCGTGGCACGTGATTGGCGTCTATAAATGGCTTGCAGCGTCACTAGTACCAGTAGATATAAATCTCACTAGATTACAAGCAGCAACTACCTAATGTGCAATATCAGCATCCCTTGCGAGCGAACGTTAACTTATCATCCTCCAACCAACCAACAAATGGAGACCAAAAAAAAAACGAAATTGTATTCTCTAAGATTGTGGTCCAATAAGCCCTGATAGATACCAAATCTTATACCGTGACCTAATATTTTATATATCAACTAGCTCCTGCTTGTGGACCTCCTCCAGTCCCAAAAGGTCACAAATTATTAGAAGTAATTGGATCTCCTGGTAATTATACAGCGAGATATAAATGTGATCAGTTATACGTTCATCGTCAAATAGACGAAACACGATGTATTGGTGATTCAGACTGGACGGAAACACCATGCAAGGGTAAGTTTAACTTAGTATTATCATATAACTTCGCTTAAAGTATTTTAGAAATCTACTTCCGGTTTGTAATGGTTAGAATTATATATCATATTTAAAAGCATATCCGAATCATAAAAACCTCAAAAAATCAATGAAGTCTGAGAGCAATCATTGATCCTTCCGGGTAGAAAAATAAGACAAAGCCATGTGCTATGTGTCCAGCGAAAGCGAATTTAGTGTATATTATCTAGAAAAACACAAAACAAAACTTCTTGATCTGTATTTTCAGATTATTGTTCTTTTTATTTCAGATTTTGCATCTTGTGCAACGATAAAAGAATGTAACTCATCTTACACAACTGACGGTGAATATATTCATTATCCTGGTATCTTAAACAGTTCTTCAGTTCGTCTGTATTGTCACAACATGAATACCAGCAGTCCTAAAACCTACCTCACTCTCAATGCTACTAATGTATTTGATTATCCTACTGGAAGATGCGTTGATAATAATGGATGTAAAGTGTTTAACTATACCAATCATGCGCAAGGAAAGACAACTTTCACAAAGGTTGCTATTGATACAGAGGTAAATGAAGTGTGTTAGCTTGAACTATAGAGATGTACCGCCTAGACCTATGTGGATGGTATCGACCTTAAAGAAGAGTCTGTAAAGAACAGCCAAAATCTGCGGACATCCAGTTGATCAAATATGTTTGCAACAATGCAATAGAACCGAACTGATGAGATGATGTGGTTATAAAATCAAATTATTTGATTACTTGGTGTTTCTTAGGAATTATCATGTAGTTTAATCATATCATTATGTTCTTATTGCATATAATTAAGAGTTTTAACCAATCGTAAATGTCCGTGTATGTACAGTCTGGATAAACAAAAAAAGACTTTTTGACCTTTGTTGATCGGTCACTCATTGGAATTCTGCTGGTAATTCTCTTCTAATCTAGCTAATTATGAATTAATTATGGACATGTGAGATAAACCGGTATTTTTCCAAGTCATAAGAACACATCTACTTTCTATTCATATAAGTATTAGCATTTTCATTTATATAAATGAAAATAAGGGAACTCATCTTTAAGACTGATAATTTTTTTCTTCAGAAAATGTCCAGCATAAAGAATGATTATACATTTACTATTCAACATTTTGGAGCTCAGAGGACGTATGCCTCGGTTTTTTGTTGTAGTCGTTCAAATATAGCCATGTGTTTGAGAGGAAGATCAACAATAGATGTAACTAATACAGGACTAATGATCAGTAACTCGGTAAGCATCCAACGGAGATGCAATCTTTAGTGTTAGAACACGTTTGAGATCCCTTGGCAATGGGAACGAGTAAGACAGTACGCTGTACAAGACAGTGTCGCAGTAAACACTCCTTGATTATACACTGAACCTCATTGTTTGTTTTTATTAACCAGACTATCAGTTTTCATATAGACAAGTTCACGTTTTTTTTCCATTGAGAAGCATAGAAGTTTAATATCCCCAGTCATTTTTTGGTCCTGACACTACCTTACCATTTTGTTTGGTCGATCGGCTGCATTTTTGCGAAAACGTCTGGAACCTGCGAGTACCATCGAGCACTATTTTATGGCTTCGGGGAAGATCTGGTGTGATCGTCTCGGTCTTCCAATGGTCTGGTACCGATATTAGCGAAATGAGGGTATAAAGATCTTTTTATCAATTGAATCATGTTACTATTTACCAACTTGTTTTTTTGTAAACTTGGTGGAATAAAATAAGAG